GCAGGGCAGGCTGTAGGACACGGTCCCTTAGGCCCGTGCCTGGAAATGCTCCTTCCAGCCCCCGACTTCAGCTGTTCCTGCTGCCGCTCATTTTCTGTGCAGCCCTTTGCTGCTTTGCAGCTCGGTGACTCCCTCCTTTTCCCTCAGAAAAACCGCTGTGGACTCCCCGTGGCATTTGCTGCTGTTGTTTTTAAAAAGAATCCCACAACCTTAGTCTCTGCTCCCGAGAGTATAATTAGAGAAGGTGTTAAACAGTAATCACACGGGGTTGTGTGCAGGGCACCCTCATCCTTCCCTGGCCATTACTGCCACAGTCACCATTGCCTTTGTCACCTTCGGCTACAGCTTACTCAGGTGGAAGAGGTGCTGAAGTAGGAGGGACATCAAAACCCACTTCTGTGCACAGAGGAGTTCTCGGGCCCTCTTGGAGCGGTCATGTTTCCCGGTTGATAGAATTAAGGTTGTTCCAGACCAAGAAAAAGCCTATTTGGAAGATAGTATGAACGTACCAACCACTGTTCAGTTATCTCCAGGAGTTCTTCCAGCAGGACCCGAGAGTTTGATCTGTATTAACAACTGGGCGTGTCAAAGGGAGCTGGTCACCTTCTTGCCCCAGTGTGGTTCTGTAGTTCTTTCTGGCGCTGTAAGCAGTTGGAAATGTTGAAGGGAAAATGTGTGTTTCAGCATAGAAATACAGCTAACCTCTGTGTGAAACCTGTCGTGTGTAGAAAGGTCCGAGGATATTTTAACGTCTGCGCTTCCCGGGGCGGGGGTCAGTGCCTGGAAAAGAGAGTTGGCAGTTGATCAGGTGGTTGATAAGCAAAGCAATGGCCGTGCTGCTTGGGGAGCAAGTTTTCAAGCTTCAACAAATACTTGTGTCTTTCTCCAAGCTGATGGAGGGTGTGTTTCAAACGGCTTGGCACGGGCGCGATGGGAAGCAGCGGTGCTGGCACTGCGCTGCCTTATGCAATCTGACATACGCTGCAAACAGTAATTAAGTGTCTCACGGAGTGGTTTGGGTGGGAAGGGACCTTAGAGATCACCCGGTGCCACCCCCTGCCCCGGGCAGGGCCACCTCCCACCAGCCCAGGTTGCCCAAAGCCCCGTCCAACCTGGCCTTGAGCCCTTCCAGGGAGGGGGCAGCCACAGCTTCTCTGGGCAGCCTGTGCCAGGGCCTCACCCCCCTCACAGGGAAGAATTTCTGCCTCAGATCTGATCTAAATCTCCCTCTGTCAGTTTAAACCTGTTCCCCCTCGTCCTATCTATCCCTCCCCCCTTTCCCACAGCCCCTTTCAGCCCTGGGGGGCCGCTCAGTCTCCCCACAGCTGCCTTTTCTCCAGCTGAACCCCCCAACTCTCTCAGCCTGTCCCCCCCCAGCCCTGCAGGAGGGTCTCACAGAGCGGAGCAGAGGGGGAGAATCCCCCCCTCGCCCTGTGCCCACCCTGCTCTGGGTGCAGCCCAGCACACGGAGCCTTTCTGGGCTGCCAGCACATGTTGCTGGGTCATGTTGAGCTTCTTGTCAACCAACACCCCCAAGTCCTCCTCCGCGGGGCCGCTCTCAGTCCCTTCTGTGGCTGGTGTCTGTTGTGGCTTTCAGGATTCTGGCACACGAAGTGTGTGTGTGACATTTTTTCTTTACTAGGACTAGTCTAGCAGTTGTGAATCTGAACGAGCTATAATGCATACAAGCTGTTTAAAATGAATCAAAGCTTCGTTCTTCTCGCATGGAAAAGTCCCTGATGTGCTTTTCCCTCTTCGTTCTGTGACATCTTTTCACCTGACTTTGAAGACTAAAATTTCTTGTTTGTCCCAAGTCTTTCAAGCTGCTTGCAGGTGATGCTTCTGTGGGGGCTTTGGGTTTGGTTTGTTTTTAACAAGGCCAAGACGGCACCTTCAGAACTTGTTTTTGTGACAGGAGTGTTCAAGCAACTGTAATATTTCTCCTGCTAAATTACATATGTTTTGTGGGTATGAAAAGGGGAGGGAAGTCGAGGAGCTAGTGAATATTTTTTGATATGCCTGCATCCTCACATCCCATTTTTTTTGAACAAGGAATGCCAGCCCTGTTTGTAGGGCAGAGGGAAGCACGATGCTGGTGGTTGCTCCTTCCAGGCCTGTATCGGTGTCTGAAAATGTGTTTTTATATCCTCTTGACTAGGGAGACGGTGACTAAAAGTAGATTAGGTATCAGTTAATTAGCCGAGCAAGCTCCGTTCCCAGCAGGCTTTCTGGGTGAGCTGGGATGGCTGCCTGGAGAACACCTGTACCAGCACAGCGCCCCGGGCAGGGCGCGGGTACGCTCCGTTGGGCGCAATTAAGATCATCTCCGGGACCGAGTGTGCAGTAATCAATTCAGGGTGTGCGTTCTGGTTTATTTACTTAAGACATGAATACCACTTCAGCTCAAAATGAATGTTTGGATGATTTTTATATACAATACCAGATGAATCCCCAAAATACAAATTTTGCTTGTTTGCTCTGTGTCTTGCATAACATGGGCCTCACAGTAAAAGCACAAGTGCTTCTAAAATGTTGGGTTCTGTTCTGCCTTTTTCAGAGCATCAGAGCAAGAGAATTATGGCTGGTTCTGCGTGATAGCAGAAACCTCAGCTGTGTGGTCAAACGTCTGTAAACTCAGAAAACAAGGCAATGTATTTCACTTTGTACTTCGTGATCAGTCAGTCTGTTTTTTAAAAAAAAAAAGCAACAGTAACTAGATTGAAATAGTGTCAGAACTGTTTTAAATATAAGCTGGGTATAGTTCATATTTAAAATGGTTCTGACACTATTTAAATCTGAATTAAAACTTTGTTGTAGTCCAAATCTGAATAATAATAGAAAAATACTTTCCTGAGCTTTCTCAATTAAAACCTTAATTTCTAGTTTAGTTGTAAGACAGTAGGCTGCTGTGGGGAGGAGGATACCTTGATGTTAGCAGATCCTCATCACCCGGGCCCTGTGCCTGTCAGGGTTTAAGAGGCATTTGGACAATGCAATAATTTGTTTTAACTTTCGGTCAGCCCTGAAGCAGTCAGGCAGTGGGACTGGATGATCGTCGTAGGGGCCCTACAACTGAGATGACCTATCCTGTGATACTCCTCCTGAAAGCCTTAGAAAAATCAAGTTTCTGCTTTCTTTGCATATTAATCTGGCTCCCAAGATCTTTGTCAGCGCCTGCTAACCATGCCTGACACGCGGGTAGGTCCGGCTCGGCACCCATCCACGGTTTTGCTCGTCAGTGAGGGGCTGGGCAGCTCGAGGACCGTGGTGTGTGTTACCGCCCGTGTCCCGTGGCTCGTCCTTCCTCCGTGGGCTGTGCTCGGGCCCGTTGGAGATAGGCTGGCTTAGTGCTCCCCGGTCTGGTTAAACCACTGCTGCCGAGGTGAGTCTCCTCAGCGCTGGCTGGGCGCCTGCATGTTGGAAAGAGCCTTCCTCTGGGGTTTGGGATGAGTGCTGCCACGCGTGGCTGACGGCTCCCGCCGCAGTGCGGGGCTCTTGGGCACCCCAGAGCCCCGGGGCTGAGCCAGGCTCTGGCCGTGGTGGGCAGGGCGGGTCCAGAGAGCCCGAGAGCTCCGGCTGGTTTTATGTGTTACTGCCTCAGTTGTGCATCTGTGGAGGTCCCCAGAGCAGCCCTCAGTGGCTGCATGTGCGTTATTCCCTTGATTATTTTTTTTTTTAAACTGTAGGAATTAATAATTGTTTGCAAACCTGTTTGCTGCTGTATCTGTATACTTTACATCTTGATGTAATTAAAAGAATACATTAACAACTGTCTCACTTGCCGTGACGCCCAGGATTTTAGTAATTCATTGCTAGAACGGTATCTTTATTGCTGATCCTGTGTGGAAGTTAACAACAAATAGTCTGTCAAGTCCTTGCTCTCTTCCAATAGATTCTGGTCTTGCAGATCAAAAGTATGTCATTGGTGCCACGAGCTCTGGGGTGGATAAAACTAGGTCCTGCTCTGGTTGTCCTCTGGTTAGTCTTCCCCGCAGGGAGGGTTCCTGTGGCAGCATTCACACCCACCGATGGACGCTTACTGGTGCTCAGTGAGGGTTGAATTCGTAGAGGAACCCCTTCTTCAGCAGCAGCACCAGCCTAATTTTTTTCCTTCCCCTGGTCTCGGGTTTGGGGCAGCTTCGTGTCCGCAGGGTTTGACCCTCGCTGCGGCTGAAGTCGACCTCAGGCCCGAAGCTGTTGCGGGAGTCAGCGGGTGCGTGGGTGCCTGGTTGTCACCAGAGACAACTTTAACTGTGATCAGTTACATCCTTTTAACAGACACTCGGTACTTTTGTTCGTAAAGGATCATTTTGTCTCCCCTGTCAGCATAGCTGCAGCCTGCCTGAGAATCTTAAAACTAGCTGTAATAAATACATGCTGTGCTACTCTGTAATCGTGAATCAGTGATACAGGACCTCCTCCTCGGAACTCACTGGGAGGTGAACAGCTTTGGCTGGAAATGGCTCGTTACAGCTGTATCCTTGACACCAGAACGGCGATGGAGTGAGAAGGGTGACGCTGTGGGGACAGGCGGGCAGGGCTGGCTCGTGGGGACAGACTTTCTGATTTAATTGGCGGCATCCAGAGGGGTGTCAGAGAGGTGACTTGGTTTCACCGTTTGGAGGGACATCTGTCTCTGCTCGCTGGTATGGTTAGAACCAGGTTTCCATCACAAACCTGACTTTCTTTTTTTTTTAAGTCGTGCTTTGACTCTTGTCACAAAGTAGAGATAGCCTGTGCACAAAGAGTTAGCTCCAGAAGTGGACCCATTGTTTATTTTTCCCTGTAACGTTTTATGCTCCAAGTCCAAGGCAAAAGTAAACTACTGCTTTAAAGTTAAAGCAGTGGGAACAGCATCAACATCCAGCATGGGCATTAAAACCAGATTTAGCAACTCTTATGCCCATTGAAACAGTCCAACTCCTGCATTTGTTTCCTGTAAGCAAAACCAACTGGCACTAGAGCATGAGCCTCGTGCTTCTCTCCCCTCCAGCTTGCTTGGTAATTGTGTGTATGTTGTTCCTTTAAATAAGCCTGCCTCGACTAGTCAGCGTCTTTGAAAAGCTGGGCAGGCTGAGAAAATGGGGATTGCTGCTACAGTTCAATAACGGGCATGTTGTCAGGAATTATTTTTGTGTCCTTGGAAAGTTTTTCGTTTTGGTGATAGGCAGGCGTTGTTGATAAACCTGTGATTTAAAGGAAAAACGTTCTGCTCAGGTATGATGTTTGTTTTCAGAAGTCTTTTTAACAAAAAGTTACTTGATTCAAGCAGAGAAATAGAACTGTCTAGACTTATTGTGAGTGACCACTACAACAAGCTAGGAGGAATCTCCTCTTCCCTTGGTGAAGGAGGAGTTTGTATGTATCAAAAATATGGCTTAAAACTTTCAGGTTTTGTAAAGCATATCTGTGTGGTTTTATTCCAGGAGCTAGAATAACTTTTCTCTCTGTTCTCTAGGGATTTAAGTCATAATCATTTATTGTCATCCAACTGGAGCATTGATCTGTCTGTGCACACTCTACTAGAAGTGTAAGTTGGTTTTTGTGAGGATAAACCCTGAACATACCCCACCCGATTCGAACCAGCACGTTCCGTTACATGTCTAGATATCTGGTCTGACTTGTAGAAATACTCAGTGCCAGTTAATTTAAAATGGATGCTCTATGTTGGCAGCACGTTTTATGTATAAAACTGATGCTCTGTGAGCAGAAAATTTTCTCATAAAGGATGACCAGTGTTTTTAAAATGTGGTGCGTTTGTTTTGCCTATAGCTGGCTCTAACTTAGAGAAGTTAATAATATCCGTGAAAATGGTAAAAACTAGCATGCTTTGCCATTAAACTGTTTAAATTATTAGTATTTAAGCTATTAGGGAATCTTTTTTGTCAACTGCTAACAGACAGAATTGCTCAATGTGCTCTGTGATACAAGGGATTTCTGCTGGGTACAGAAGGGTTTTCTTTAAAGTGCCAGTAATCTTTTTGGGTTTTGCTTTTTTTTTTTTTTTAAGGAAAATGAATTACAATGAACTAAGTGAAATTCCGTATTTTGGAGAAACAACTTCTAATATAACTCTTCTCTCACTGTAAGTAAACAGCTTCTCTTGTCTTTTTCTTGTTTAACAAACGGGAGAATTATATTAGAGTTTTGCTATCAAGTTGTAGGAAAACGTAGCTGCTTTTGTCTTGAAATACTACTCATCCAAAGTGCTTTAGGGACTGTGTAAGCGCTCTTTAAAGAAATACAGATCAGTTAGACAATCAAGTCACCCCAAATTACCAATAAAATGCAGTCAGCCAAGGCAGGCAGCTTTGAAGGGGAGGGATTCAGTCTAGGAATGACAGTTCCCACAAGGAGCAGCCCAGCTACAGGCTCCAGAATTTGAATCTATTCATATGTCAAGGTGGCAAATAGCTGTTGGATTTTCAGTATTGCTTCAGGAATTAACCCTGAAGTGTGTGACACGTGTCTCATTTAAGAGCCTTGCTGATGAAGCTGACACACAGAATCCAGTAGCTGTTTCAGCCGGGCAACCTGAAGGGTGGGATGTTTTGATAATCATATTTGTTGCTGGTATTTTTCAGGGTACACAATACCATTCCAGAAATCAATGCTGAGCAGCTCCAAGTTTACCTATCGTTGGAAAATCTAGATCTGAGTTCTAATCTTATCTCAGAAATTAAAGCTTCTTCTTTTCCACGGATGCAGCTGAAGTACCTGTAAGTATGAGTGATTTGCTCTGTCTGGGATTCCTGGCTCTACAACTACAACGTTGAGTACCTCATCTACTCTTAAGTTGCTGCTGTCTTAAAGTGGGCAGCCTTGCATGGTTTGAACTGGTACCAGTGCTCAGCATGGCTACAGATGTGCTCGAGGTATTTTTCAAGCCAATCTGTTGCATTTTCTCCAGTAGTACGGAAGACAGCAGCTGCTGTTGTCGAAGTGCAGGCACTCCGGCCAGCAGGGACATGGAATGATTTCTGCCTGTTTTGAGTAGATCACTGCTGACATTGTCCTGCCCTTGTCTAACGAAGCAGGGACATGCAGCAGGAATCAGCTCCTAGCACCGATTCCTTTGGGAAAAACGATTTAGTTTGGTATGTTAGAGTTCAGATTTGTGCTGTAGCTTCACAAGGAACTTGAGTTCTAATAATAAGTGGTTGCTCTGAAGTGCCTGTGCAGTTATGTTGATAAAATTCCCCATGTTCTGAAGGGCCTCTTTTCCTCTTCCTTTCCTAGGAATCTGAGTAACAACAGAATAACTACTCTGGAAGCAGGCTGCCTTGATAACTTATCTAGCTCACTAATGGTGGTAAAGCTGAACAGAAATAGGATTAGTGTGATTCCACCAAAGATCTTCAAATTGCCTCACGTGCAGTTTCTGTAAGTAGCAGTCTTGAAAGCTTAAAAACGCGGTGTTTACAGCTGTGGCTTGCATCTCAGTATGTGTTCTTGCCTTTCACAAAGTGGTGCTTAGAAAGATGTCTTAATATTTGAATGTCATCTTTATAAAGGGAACTGAAAAGGAACCGGATTAAAATAGTGGAAAGCCTTACATTCCAGGGACTGGAATCCTTAAAATCCCTGAAAATGCAGCGCAATGGGATTAGCAGACTGATGGATGGGGCGTTCTTTGGCCTGGGTAATATCGAAGAATTGTGAGTATGCCTGGTCGTGGAGTTGCTGCTGGGGCCGCTGGCTGGGCGGGGGGTTGTGTCCTGGGTGGCTTCCCTTCCCCCGGGGCTGTGCTGAGGCACTGAGGAGCATCGCCGGGAGGGAGTTCACAGGTCTGTGCTTCCCATCGCTCTGATACCGCGTCTGGTTGTTTCAGAGGTGGAAAGGTGTTGGCTCCCTCCCCGGCTTCTTCCCGCTCACTGATCAAGAATGCTTTGGCTCCGTCGGTTGTCTTTTGCCGGTTTTCATTTGCACTCCCCTAACACGGGGCGGTTCTTTGCTGCGTGGCTGTTGGGCAGGAATGGCACAAGGCTGTGCCATCCGGTGTGGGTGAAAGATTTTTTTTTCAAAATAAGTAATCTTTGAGAACAGAGATGGCAGTTCTGCTGCTGCCACCGCACCACGGCAGCTGTTGTTACTCAGTTCTTCACACACTTTCGTTTGAAACCAAAAGGGCAGCAAAATGAGTATAATTGTGCAGTTGATGTTGCCTAGGGCTTAATGTTATTAGATCAGTTTGAGATCCACGAGGTGAAATTTCGTAAATATATGTTTCATTGATGATCTATTTGGCAAATGTTTTCCCTTCAAATTCCTTAGAGAACTGGAACATAATAACTTAACGGAAGTAAACAAGGGCTGGCTGTATGGTCTGCGGACGTTGCAACAACTCTACGTTAGCCAGAACGCCATTAACAGGATCAGCCCAGATGCATGGGAGTTCTGCCAGAGGCTTGCTGAGCTGTGAGTCCTGCTCTGCTTTTCGTTGGGGATTTTGTGACGTTGCAGTAACGGATTGGATAGCACGCATGCGGCGAGGCTGAGTTACCAGAGGAAGCGCCCGGTTTCCTTGTCAGGCCCATGGCAGTGCTGTGTATTTTACTTGGGAGTGTTCTGTTAGAGAAATTAATCAAAACGCAATCGTTAATCAAGTTTGATAGTAGCTTCATAACTAATCCCCCCCTACCTGCCTTTAAAGTGCCTGTTCAATGTTTCTAGAGACTTGTCGTACAACCAGCTGACTCGCCTCAAGGAGTCTGCCTTCGTGGGCCTTGGTCTGTTGGAGAAGCTAAACCTGGGTGACAATCGCATTAGTCACATTGCGGATGGGGTGTTCAGAGGCCTGGCAAATCTTCGAACCCTGTAAGTACAGAAAACTTTGGGCTCAAATCTCGGCCTAATGCGGGGCGGCTTTTGGAGATAAAGACAGGGAACATGGCAAGCCTGAGACGGGTGTTCTGGTGTTGTTGTGTACTGTCCTGCCTGCAGGTGTGGTGGGGCAGATAATCTTTTGGTCTGCCAAGATAACAGAACTCTGGCCCAGCTAAACCAAACCTACCACTTAATTTCAGTGGCGATAAGAAGCAGCGGCCCGGGGTGCCCGGCTGCGCGGCAAACGCTTCCCAGGAGGTGGGGGAGCAAGGCAGGTGTGTGGGGTGAAGGGTTGGCCTGGACCCCTCTTGTTCCAGAGGGTTTTGTTAGGGCCGGGACCTCCAAAACCAAGCGGTGTGAAGCCTTGTGGCTGCAGAGAGCTGGGTTTAGCCCACCCTGCCTGCGGGTAGGAGGGGGTGGGATTGCTGCTTCCCCTACCAGGCGCAGCTCCGCGCTGGCCAGGGCCTTCCGTAGCAGCTGCAGCTGTGTGGCATTTCTGACAAGAAAAGACTCAATCCTGGCTCTTAATAATAAAAAAAAAAAGTGTCCCAAGTAGATCTGAACAGTTGTAATCACCCTAAACAATGGCAGTTGAGAAAGGAGTGAAAGTTTATAACCCCTCTGTCAGTTCATTAAATAAATGCTTAAATAAGCAAACTCACCAGAGAGATTTATGTAAGCAGTCATATTCTGTTAACCTTAATGCAACCTTTTAATGAAATAATTAAAACTAATTTCTTAGATTTAGACTAGCATGAAAAAGAACAAGAGCAGATTAATTAGTAGGTTTTCCTGGGCTCCTCAGGGGCGTCAGCAGCGGAGAGGCCGGCGGTTTGGGTCGGGCTGGAATGTGAGGACGGAGGGCAGTGGTGACTAACGAGGCTCCGGGCATTTGTGCCCAGCCAAGCATGAGGAGCCAACTCCTCCGCTCACACAATGAGGGGCTTCTCTTCTGAGCTGCTCACTCATGTTGCTGAGCGCTCTGAGTAGTGGAGTGTAAAAATGCTTCAAACGAGGAGACACCGCGTTGCTGTCGGATTCGTTCCGTTGGTTGTGGTGGTGCTTGGGCTGGCGGAGATAGTTCCCTGTGTGTGCAGCTCCTGCCGCTGTTCTGCACTGTAGCTTTAATTAATAAGAATAAGCTGTAAAACTGTGCGTTAACTGCAAGGTAATAGGAGCGAGGTAGGATTAAAGGTGTAGCTAAGAATAACACTGACGTTTTGAAGTTTGACATCTTGCCACATTTTCCACTTCACACCGTGGCGAGTAGCTCAACACTGATACCCCTCCAGCATTCACAGTCTAAAACACCGAACCAACCTGGAGGTAATTCTAGAAACAAGTTGCAAATCACAGGAATTAGCAGCTTGGAAATAAATTTGACATATTGTTCGTCTAGCCGTTCTTCTCATCGGATCACATCCATGTTGAGTGTTTCGGCTTGAATAATTTTCATGCAGGAGAATACTTCACACGAGCAGGTATCAAGGCCATATTTGTAAAGACCTTGTGATGCACAAATTCTTTTCCTTTTGTCCTGAACTTTAAAGTGTATATAAGCTGTGGAAATGACTGCTGTCTGGTGTTAAGAACAAGACTTCCATATTTCAAAGTAAGAAAAATAAGAAAATAATGTGTTACCACTGGCAGTGTCCTGGAGTCTCCTCTGGGATGGTTTTCTACACAGTTTACAGTCTCACCCAAGGGAAAGTAGACCCTTCATTTTTCCACCGTTAGCACAAGGGAAGAAGTGCTGCTGTGGGGGGATGTGTGCAGTTGCCTGCATACGGAGGCAGCTTTCTGTGTCACTTGACTCGTTTGGAAGCTCCATCAAGCCGATGTGTATAATACCCGGTAAAAGGCAGTACAGGCTGCTTTTTAAACACAGCCCCGTCTGCAGGGACTTCTGTGCACGGTGGTGTCAAAACAGATGAGAACTGGCTTTGGAAACTCTTGGCTCAGTCCACACCATTCAGGCTAAAAATGCAGCTGACTTTGTTTCTCCTTGTCTCTAAAAGTGTTTAATCCTCTCCAAACCTATTGCTATACTGCTTTTGCTGTTTAGACCACGCTTGGACGTGAGGGGCCGAAGTGCTGTGCAGAAGTCAAACAGAAATCCCATTAGCTGGTAACGAGATTTGTGAGCAGAATATCAACTTCATTGGGAAAATCTACTCCTTTGTGCCTGGCAGCCTTACGCTGTAACCTGTGTGTAATCTCTTAATATGCTAATGCTGTTATAAGCCTGTTACTCGGGAAGATTAATGCTGCTGGTGTATTGGTTAATTCACTTACATGAACCAACTTGCTTCGGGAGCCTCTCCCAGCTCCTGGTAATGGTCCATCACATGACAAGCGCGAGTCAGGCCGGGTCTGTCCTTAAATACCACATCAAGAAGTTGTGCTGCAGAATTTGTTTGTGGTTCTGTCTGCGGCGCTGATCTTGAACGGTTCTGTTTTCCCTTGCCTCTCTGAAATGGGGTATTGGTCTTCTGACAAGCTTAGTTGTAGAAGAGATGTGAGCCTCCGGGTGAAGCGTGCCAGGACGCTGTAGCTGGCCGTGGCCACGGAGATGTTCCAAGGCTGCTTTGTGAGAAAGCTCTTCTCCCGCAGGGACCTGCGGAACAACGAGATCTCCTGGGCCATAGAAGATGCAAACGAAGCATTTGTGGGACTCGGCAGGCTGGACAGACTGTGCGTATCACCAGCCAGGGGTGACGGCTCTTCCCGGGCACGCAGAGTAGAGGCAGAGTGCGAGATGTCGAGTAGCTGCGAATCGCTGCCACGGGGCAGAAAGCCTTTCTCACGGGTGCATTCAGTGTGTTTCCACGGGCGTGCTGCACCCCCGTGACACGGGCTGGGGCTCCTGTTCGGGAGCGCGGGATCTGCGTGGCGCTGGATCACCTTGCAGCACCAGTTTGGAGAAATGAAGCACCAGAATTTGCATTTACGATTGGCTAGCCCAGTCCTGCTGGGTGATCATTGTCACTTCTTTTTTGCTGCTTTAGTTTGGGTAGGAGTTACTGCTTATAAAAAAACCCCAAACTAAACCACAAAGTATTTTTGAGCAAATCTGAAGCACCGCTGAATTCACAGCTTTTCCGTGCTTAGGCTGCGCGTTTTGATCCCGTGCCATGTGCTCCCTGGGGAGCTCCGTCCCGTGGAGCTACAGACACTGCTCACGACAAATGGCTCGGTGTGAGGGGGCAGCCTGGGAGCTGATGTGATTGTGGTGGATTGCTGTTGGGAAGTTACCGCTCCGCTCCCGAGTGCTGCTTACCACTGTTTGATTCTGCTGACTTAAATTGTATTCTGACACATCTCTAACTTAAGAACGGGAAAGAAACCCTGTTCTTGGGAAAACTAGTTGAGCCTTTAAGCTCAAAAAGTAGTATTTGATCTTTTAGCTCAGAATTAGAAACAACTTAGTTAAACATCGTAGGGAACTTATTTTGGGTCTTATTTGTGAACTCATTGACACTCAGACTGGTCTCTGGGTTTGGGGTCTTTGTCTTTCAGAATCTTGCAAGGAAACCAGATTAAATCAATTACCAAAAAAGCATTCTCTGGTCTTGAAGGACTTGAACATCTGTAAGTACTTTACTTTGTAGAACTCTAATTATTTGTCAACTTCAGTCTTGTGTCCTCTGTCCAGTTTTCAAGAATTTAACTGAAGGTAGCGTTCTCTGCGCTTGATTTACAGAGATTTAAGCAACAATGCAGTGATGTCTATCCAAGAAAATGCATTTGCCCAGGCTCACCTGAAGGAGCTGTAAGTTCATGACAATTATTCACAGATTCTTTACAAGTCCTGCCTTGTAGAGAATCCTTCAGCTGTTGCAGGATTGGCTGAAGGGTGTCTGCTTTCATCATGAAATATTTAAAGCAATGCTGGTAAATTATCGGCTCAAAGGTGGTAGCAGTACACTTAGATTTAAGGTTTGATAAAACCTGCACCTCTGTTTTCTTCGTTGCAATTGGTAGCAAATAATGTTTTCTTGCAATGCTTCAACCATTAAGTTTTTCATATCTTAGGATTTTGCAGCAAGCTCAGCACATTCTAGCATGTAGATAGCAAACAAAAGAAAATTCATCAGGAATCTCTCGGGGGGGGGGGGGGGGTTT